AATATAGATATGCATATTAAAGAAACCACAACGCAATGATTAAGATAAAAACATAAGGTTTTCAATTAAAAACTAGGAGTCAATCAGTTTTGTCATCCATCCAATACAAAGATGTCTAGCCTAGCATATTAATGTATGAAAAATAGGAAAAATAAAGGAACGACATCACCCGAAACATTAAAGTATGAAAAGAATCTGAAATCCCCCACTTTATGCCTTCAATTCCGAATCTAAGTGATGAAGTATTGTTCTTCAATGTATATCCCGCTCTCTTTTCCTCTTTGTCAGCTTCCAGTCCCATAAAAATTAGGTTCCCCCTATTTTTGTCAACTTTTGGTATAAATATCGTGCAAAGAATTGTAAACCAAAACTTTCCAAAACAAAATAAGGAAACGGAATTTTTTTGTCGGAATTGAACTGTGTACGCATAGTACATTTTGGTGCGTATGCATAGTATCATCAATTTAACTTCGGAAGTTCAATTTTCCAATGGTGCGTACGCAAGACCTGCAAGCCTATGCGTGCGCACAGTTCAACTATTTTAGGGGCCAATTTACAATTTGGTCCCTAAACTTTCTGAAGTGTTTGTTTTGGTCATTTTCCAAAATTTCTTGTCCCATTAGCTTCTCTTCAACTCCAATTGACTCTTGGTGTTCTCAACTCATCGTTCTTTGATCAAATTCAAATTTTGGATTATTGCATTCCAGTCCCCAAACTTTGCCTTGATGTAATTGAGTCGTTTTTCCTGCTTATTTTCTTTATTCTCGTATCTTCCATTGATTGTAACCTACACACAATATATAAATAGGATTAAGCCATATTCCATCAAATTCTTTAACAAATACTCAATTTTAATGGCCTAAATAAGTGTATAAAATACACTTATCAAACATCCCCAAACTTGAACATTTGTTTGCCGTCAAACAATTTATAGCCCAATCCAATTAAACTTTGGTTAGATGGTATGTTGTTAGTCTCAGGATTGGATAATTGTATCATTACTTAAAACAGTGTCCAAATTACACATTTGAAATTAATTTTCCCTTAATCAATGTGAAACTTAAAGTGTGTCTGTGAATATTCATGTAAACATCATAACGCTAATAACTGGTTTGATTCCCAATTTGCAGTAGTCAATTATTTTCTTTCCTCACTCGTAAGATACACACCCTCAAACTTATGATTTTTACTCACTTTTCCCGAGGTATGCACTAAGGTTGATTTTTAGCTAATTCTAATCCTTACACTCTCTCATTTGGATAGATCGTAACTAATATAGATTCCCATCTTGACTCATAAGGATTCTCTCATATTTTTGATTACTTCGGCTTCCAAGACTCAATTGAGCTCATGACCCATTGTCAAAGGTATAAGTCCCTAGAATAGTTGTTCGAGGCTCAATCTTGGCACTTGGTGCGTCTTCTGTTTCATGCACCTGCTCATTTATATATATATATATATATATATATATATATATATATATACATATTTTTTTTATATACTTCTCTCCATTAAGCGACTAAGTGACCCCTGTAGCGAGTTTTCAGCCGATGACTTCCAAGTCAGATGACCACAGGGTACTAGGTTTTAAGGACTTTTGCAGGCTTAATTGCTCGAGTCAAAAAGGCTCAGAAGAGAAGTTCTTTTTACTTCTTTTAATTACCAAGATTAGTGCAATGCCCCTTATTAAACACCTATTCTCGAAACTGACCCCTAACTCGAGGTTTTCATCTCAATTCGTCTCATTGGCTTTAGATAATCCACACAATTATTGCACACATGGAATCCCTACTTATCTCGGTATTTCTCTATACTAGTTTAATCATTTCCAAGTTCTCATAAAAGAAGTTTTATGGTCTTATTTATTTGTGTTGGTTCGGGTTTGAATCAAATATGTTCAACTTTCTCCTTATACAAACCAAGTCATCAACTCATAATGCAAAACATGAATATCGTGCTCAATAAAGATCAAGTTTCACATCAACAAGTGTCAATTAACTCAACATATAATTCTTCCACGATTCTTAGTTAATTACACAGTTCCAATATATGTATCATTCCCAGCAAGGCCATCCAACCCACACAAGCACACAAAGTTAAAAAGACAACACACAAACGTTAAATTTTTTTTTTTTATTATTTTTTTATAAAGATAAAACATACCAATCATGCGAAAAAGAAGTAAACGTGAAGATAAAAGATTAAATCGCTCCCAAACTTAACAGGTGCATTGTCCCCATTGTACCACAATAAGGAATAAAATGCAAAAAGATGGGTACGAAAGGAACTGAGAACTCCCCTGGTCAATTGGATGGTCGCGGTGGAGGTAGACGGGAAAGAATCTCCCTCATCAAAGCATATTGCTGGACCATCTCAATTTGCATATTACGGGCCGTGTCGTATGTCTAATCAGCCCGAAATTGCATGGCATCCATCATTCCAGTATAACGGTCCAACCTCCTAATTAGCCTGTCAGTACTTCGACGTAAATCAGAGACATCTTCTTGAGTCCTGCTCGCGCTAGCTCGTATAATCCCAATGTCAGTTTGCATATCTTGTACCCATAAATCCAGGGCGGTAAATGATTGTTGTAACTGTTGAACATCCCTACTCCGCCCAGTCATCGTCGCAAACATCTGTCGCAGTACAGGGGCATCAGCTGGTGGCTCATGTTGTGGGTCTGGGTGGATGTCAACGTCATCCTCATGGCCTGCCTCGTCCTAGTTATCTTGTCGTCCTTCTTTGTACTGATTGACTTTTCTCTAAGAGTTTTGGGCGGAGAGAATGTTGATTGGGGCAGCAGGACTTATTGCCTACTTAGCTGGTAGGAGCTGCACTTCGTAAGCCCTGCATATTCCACAGATAAGGCTTGGAAATATGAGTGTGTATCATGGGTCTACTTCAGCAGCGCGGGCACAAATCAGATTATAGATGTGAGTGCCCAAGTCAAATTTGAGCCCTCTAGCTAGATGGTAGAGCAAAGCAGCTTTAGTGTGATCGAACTTGTAACGATGCTTGGAGGGATCAACATTGTGGCAAACAAACATCATTAGAACCATGAGGGACTCAGTTAAATTACTGTATAAGAAATTCGATCGACGGAGTGGCCAAGCATCTGCTCTTCTATACAACACTTGTGCTAACTCTGGCCAATTTTGCTCTGGTGGTATCGGGATGATTCCTTCTCGATTCAATTCAAGGTATTCATCAATGACCTCAGGTGTGAACATAAACCATTTATCTCGCACCTAGGTTCAGTGCTGGTGATCGGTCCCAGGGTCGTCGATGGAGAAGTTGAAATTTGTGTAGAACTATTGAACAAGTGTAGGATAAATAGCAAATGGTTAAGCTATCACCTTTTCCCAGCCACACGATTGATTAATATCTCAATTTCAAACCCCGAGAAATCTTCCAAAACCACTTCCCGCTCTGGCAAAACAGTCCATTTGGTGACTACTTGCTCAAATTGAAGCTTATGCTCTGGGCTTAGAAATCTTCGTACATCACCTTCATCAACTCGAGAACGGCCCAAATTGGACGAAAAAGAGGCTTTGCCTTTCCCCTTTGAAGTGGATGGAGAGTCGTGTGTGTGTTTGGGAGGCATTCCTACAAAAGGCACAAAATAAGCAAATGAGATAGATGAACGGGGTAATTGTTATCAAGAGAATACCATAAGTACCAAACGAAGAGCAAAGTGTAGTGCTATGTATGGGAAAGAACACGGAAGGGCGGTGGAAGGGGTGGTAAGTACAACGTGTTGTTTTCCTCCAATTTCAAGTTATACAATAGAGTGGATGCAAGCAAGTATAAGGTATCGTTAAATTGAGGAAAGCCCAAGTGTCGTGCAACAATTCAAGCTAAAATGTTGACCAATGAGTCTTTAGGACAATTAAACAAACACTTTGTGGGCAATGTTGTAGCAAGAATGTCCATATGCCTATGTTGTTATGAATCTATCAATGTTAACATCAAATTGAACAAAATCCACCATCTACCTAAGCCCAACCTCTACAATAAAAAAATAAAAAAATTCATCAAAATGCATGAAAATTGGAAAAAAAAAGTGCAACCCGTGAGTGTTCAAAGTGAAGTGTATTACCTTCGAGTTCTTGGAAATTGGGGATTTTTAAGTGGATGATGTTGATGTAAAAGGTACACTAATGTGACCAATGTGTAATGCCTAAGTGAAGGGATGAAGAAATTAGGGGGAAGATGCGCCGATTTGTGGAGAAATAGAGGTATGCTCGTGTGTGGGTAAAGAGTGGATTTGTGGGCACTATGTGCGTGGATGAGGGATTTAAACCCTCACCCGACCAGGCTATGTGTATACATGGCTTGGCTCGTGCGTACGCACAACCAAAGCAAATTGGCCTCGGGTGGCCAATCTGCCAACCATGCGTACGCATGGTTAACCATTTTTTTTAATAACTGGCTCTTTATACCCACCCCGACTAAATTCTTTACATAATACAGTTTAGAAGTATGCAAAATGATTATGACATAGAAGTTCAATGCCAATCTTGAAAGGTTCATTTTGGTTTCAACCGAATCCGACCACTCGTGTTCCACTCCCAAACTAATACCTTTACCACTATGATCGAAAAATGTGCAATTGATGCGGGAATCAATAGATTATAAGTAAGTCATTCTTGTATCCAAAATTACACATTTCAGCCTCGATGACTGTAACATCTCATTTTTTTATCTACATATTCTTTGTGCCCTCCAATTGCATGTCTGGAATGATTGAACTCCCCTAAACTTGTGTAAACAAATATGAAATTGTGTAACCTGTGCATTGACTCAACAACTAAGCAATGAAAGGATGACACCTAATCTATCGAACACACCCAAGCAATAAAGAAAACATATAAAAATAAATAAAATAAAAAAAATCCAAATCTAATGCAACAAAGCAGAATAAATAAAAGGGGAGAGAATTGGGTTGCCTCCCAATAAGCACTATTTTTGTAGTCTATAGCTCAACTTTGTTGCTCAGCTTACTTTGCACCATTAAGAGGTACGGTTGTCTTCTCATTAGAGTAGTCACCACCCCAATAGGCTGTCAACCGTTGTCCATTCACTTTAAATCTTCTCTGTTCATCCTGAGATACTACTTCTACAGCATCATGTGAAAGCACGGCTACTACTGTGAAAGGACCTGACCACCTAGATTTTAGCTTTCCAAGAAAGAGTTTGAGACGTGAATTGAACATCAATACTTGTTGGCCTACTTCAAAATCCTTCTCTCTTATATGTCTGTCCAGCCATCTCTTGGTTTTCTCCTTGTAAATCTTTGCATTCTCATATGAATCCAAACGAAATTCCTCCAGCTCATGGAGTTGTAGAACCCTCTTTTCTCCTGCTGTCCTCATATTGAAATTGAGCAATTGAGTTGCCCAATATGCCTTATGCTCTAACTCAAGGGGTAGATGACAGGCCTTTCCAAACACCAGTCGATATGGAGACATGCCAATTGGAATCTTAAACACTGTTCTATAAGCCCAAAGTGCATCGTCTAGTTTCTTAGCCCAATCCTTGCGGGAATATTCTTTAACTCCCTATTGGAGATTTCTACTTGCCCGCTAGTCTGAGGATGGTATGGAGTTGAGACACGGTGTTTTACTCTATATTTGGCCAACAGCGATGCAAATAATCGATTATAGAAATGTTTTCCACCATTACTAATGATTGCCCTTGGAGTACCGTATCGAGTGAAAATGTTCTTCTTCATGAACTGAGTTACCACTCACCCATCATTAGTTGGCAAAGCTACAACTTCAACCCACTTAGACACGTAGTCCACTGCCACTAGTATGTATTGTTGACCGTAGGAGGGAGGGAATGGTCCCATGAAGTCAATGCCCCAAACGTCGAAAATTTCAACTTCCAAAATGTTGTTTAAAGGCATCTCATTCTTTCTTGAGATATTTCCAGTCCTTTGACACTTGTCATAATGTTTCACCATATAATGTGCATCCTTGAACAACGTAGGCCAATAGAAACCCGATTGTAGTACCTTTGCTACTGTCTTGGTTGTTGCGAGTGGCCCCCATACGGTGCAGAGTGACATGACTCTAACACTTGATGCTGCTCTATCTTCGGTACACAATGGCATATGATTTGATCTGGACCCCTTCTATAAAGAATTGGATCATCCCAAAAGTAGTGTCTTAGGTCACTAAAGAATTTCTTCTTTTGGTGACTGGAGTAGTTTGGTGGGATGATCGAGCGGGCCAAATAATTGACATATTTGGTGTACCATGGTGTAGTGATAATCTAAAAAAGCATTTCATCAGGAAAAACTTCATTGATCTCCACTGTAGGGTTTGATTCATAAGATTCGAGGTAAGAAAGGTGATCTGCCATAACATTCACACCCCCCTTTTTATATCTAATCTCCAAATCAAACTCTTGCAATAGGAGTATCCATCGAATAAGCATCGGCTTTGCATCCTTTTTGCTTAGTAGTTATTTTAAGGCTGAATGATCCGTATAGACTATCACTTTTGACCCAATCAAGTATGATCTAAATTTGTTAACGGCGAACACTACTACCAAAAGCTCTTTCTATGTAGTCGCATAATTCATTTGAGCGTCATCCAAAGTCTTACTGGTATAGTGAATAACATGGGAACTCTTCTCCTTTCGTCAACCCAACACTTCCCCCACTGCGTGATCACTGGCATCACACATGAGTTTGAATGGATAATTCCAATATGGGGAAGCCATTACTAGAGCAGAAACCAATTTTTCTTTTAAGATGTTGAAAGCCGTCAAGCACTCCTAAGAAAAGTGAAATGGGGCCCCTTTTTCTAGTAGATTGCATAATGACTTTGAGATTTTGGAAAAATCTTTGATGAAACGATGGTAGAACCTAGCATGACCGAAGAAACTTCTAACTCCCTTAACTATTATCGACGGTGGTAGTTTTTCGATGACTTGTATCTTGGCTCTATCAACCTCAATACCCCGTGCTAAAATCAAATGCCCTAACACAATCTCTTCTTGAACCATGAAATGGCATTTTTCCCAATTTAATACAAGGTCTGTGTCTTCACATCTCTACAGTACTTTTCCCAAGTGTTCAAGGCACTCCTTAAATAATTTTCCAAATATTGAGAAATCATCCATAAACATCTCAATAATATGTCCCTCCATGTCTGAGAAAATTGACATCATACAACGCTAAAAGGTGGTTTGAGCATTGCAAAGGCCGAAGGCCATCCTCCTATAAGCAAAAGTGCCATAAGGGCATGTAAAGGCTGTCTTCTCTTGATCATCAGGTGCTATAGGAATCTGGTTATACCCCAAATAACCATCTAAGAAATAGTAGTATGCATGTCCAGCGAGTCTCTCCAAATTTGGTTAATGAAAGGGAGGGAAAAGTGATCTTTCCTAGTGGCGTTGTTGAGTTTACGATAATCAATGCAGACTCTCCAACCAGTGACTGTCCGTGTAGGGATTAGCTCGTTATTTTCATTTGGGACCACCGTGATTCCTCCTTTTTTTGTCACTACTTGTACTAGACTGACCCAATGGCTATCTGATATGGGATAAATTATCCCTGCATCCAAAATCTTTAATACTTCTTTTCTTACCACTTCTTGCATATTTGGGTTTAATCTGCGTTGATGCTCAACTGAAGCTTTGTAATCATCGTCCATCATTATCTTGTGCATGCAAAGCAAAGGGCTAATGCCTTTTATGTCTGATATCATCCATCCTAATGCTGTCTTGTGCTCCCAGAGTACTCTTAGCAACTGATATTCCTCTAATTTTGTAAGATTGTTCGAGATAATTACTGGAACCGAATTCTTTTCCCCCAGATACGCATAGCGTAGATAAATGGGCAACTATTTGAGTTCAAGAGTTGGAGCTTGCTGTATAGATGGTAAAGGTTTTGTGGGCCTTTTGTCGAGCTTCAAACATGATTGCTTGAAAATTGGTAGTATGGCTGCCAAATAACATGCACACTCTTCTGCTTCCTCTTTTTTCGATGGCAATTCCTAAGAATGTACCAAGCAAGCCTCAAGCGAATCTTGAGGGTGATCAAGTTTAAATGCCTCTGACACTGCTTCCCTTATTATGTCAATCTGCATGCAAGAATCTAGTTCATTCTGAAATTTGAAGGCTCTAAGCACGTTGATTGTCAGTTCCTCTTCATCTAACCTTAATATTAACTGACCTTTTTGCACATTTATCAGATCCCTTCCCATAGCCAAAAATGGGTAACCCAATATGAGGGGGACATCTCGATCTTCTTCCATATCCAGAATAATGAAGTCCACTGGGAAGATAAACTTATCGACCTTGACCAAAATATCTTCACAAATACCTCACGGGTGTTTAATTGACCTATCGGCTAACTGCAGTGAAATTTTAGTCATTTTTGCTTCTCCCAACCCTAGTTTCTTGAAAAGAGATAAGGGTATTAAATTGATGCTAGCTCCTAAATCACATAATGCCTTATCGATATACAAATTACTAATATTACAAGGAATAGTAAAATTCCCTGGGTCTTTTAGTTTCAGTGGTAATTTGTGTTGGAGAATTGCATTGCACTCCTCAGTAAGCATGATCGTTTCATTGTCTTCTAGCTTCCTCTTGTTTGATAAGATGTCTTTCATAAACTCGGCGTAGCTGGGCATTTGAGCTAGGGCTTCAGCGAATGGTATGTTAATGTGTAGCTTCTTAAATACATCCAAAAATTTCTGAAACTGCTTATCTAGTTTGTGTTTTTGTAGTCTCTATGGAAATGGGATTGGAGGCACATATGCCTTGCCAGGAGTGCTTGTCTTAACTTGTGGACTGCCCAATGACTCGATTTGATTTTTCTCCGTTGTTTTGTCTAATTCATCAACTTGCTCTTTACCCATTGTAGGTGTCTTTTCTATGATAGTTGCTAGCCACTTTACATGTATTTTTGGTAGTTGGATTCCACTCTGTGTAGTTATGGCTTTGACCTGCTCTTTAGGGTTTGTCTCACTGTTGCTAGGTAATGTTCCCTGAGCTCTACCTGATAATGTGGCTGCAATCTATCCCACGTATTGTTCCAAGTTCTTGATTGAGGTCTGTTGATTTTGAAAGTTGGTCTTAGCTTTAGTAATGTACTGAGCCAGCAAATCTTCAAAAGACGGTTTATGTCCTTGCCATTGTTGCTGCTGTTAGAACCCTGGTGGTTTATTCTGATTGTTACCTCCTTGTCCTTGTCCCTAATTGCTAGACCATGAAAAGTTTGGATGATTTCTCCAACCCGAATTAAATGTGTTGGAGAAGGGACTATTTTGCTGTCTCTAAAACTGAGCATAGTTTACTTCTTCAGACTGGTTAACATGTGTAGACGCCAGAGGGCAGTGCGTAGTATTATGATCAGCTCTACAACCTTCACAAATTGATGGAGATTGATGTACATATTAACTGACTGAGATAGATCTTCCATTTTCATTGTAAGAACTTCCATTTGTGTAGCCAGTGCTGTTACTACATCTACATTATGCGGTCTTACTGTCTTCCTTGACGTTTCCCTATCGGTTGGCCATATCAATTGGTTCTCAGCTATTCTTTCATACAAGTCATATGCCTCATCCACATCAAGTTTCATCACCAATCCTCTTGTAGAAGCATCTATCATATTTCTGAATTCTTTCTTTAGACCGTAGTAGAATAGATATTGCTAAGCCTTTTTAGGGACGTCAAGGCTGGGGCATTTCTTGAAAAAATTCTTGAATCTCTCCTATGCATCCGGATAGCTTTCGAGCTCTTTTTACTTGAAAGTGTGGACTTCATTCCTAACTTGATGAACTCGAGAAGGTGGAAAAAATTTCATCGTAAATTTTTGAACCATATCGTTCCAAGATTGAATGCTCCCAGGTGGTAAACAAAGAAATCATTCCCTTGTAGTGTCCTTTAAGGTATGAGGGAATAATCTTATTCGAAATGTATCTGTTGATATTCCTTCATGACTGATTACCTGACATAGCATAAGAAATGTTGAAATATGTTCATGAGGATTCTCTGTGGCTTTTCCAAAGAACTTGATGCCTTGGTGATTTTGGAACAAATTGATGACATCTGGTCTAAAGTGGAAATTAGGTTGTCCAAAGGGAGGATATAATACAGCTGGTTGCATTAGTACAGGGATTGGATTGACGTAATCTCCAACTAAGACAAGGGCTTCGTTGTGGATAGCTCTTAGTTGATTTGGTTGCAGTATTTGCTCGTGAAGCTGGACCTGATGTTGTGGTTGATTTTGGTTATTGGCCATTCTCCTTGCTTGATGTTGAACTCCTCTACGATTTCTAAATGTTCTTTCTATTTCATGATCGATTGGGAAGAGATCTGGTTCCTCAGGATTTTGCATAAACTAATGTCGCTTAAAAAGTGTCAAGACACAAGAGAACTAAGCGGTATAATGGTAGCCTAAAAGCAACTACTAAAAATGAAATAAGAATAAAAATAAATGAATTTAAAATATCTAATAACTAAAATTAACACCATTATTCCCCGAAAACGGTGCCAAAAACTTGTTCGTTAAAATCCTGCAAGGGTACAGGTTCGTTGTACAAGTAATAATTGTCATGAAAGAGTTATCGTCCCACAAGAAATAAGGTCTAATTCCAATGTATTCGATATAATTAAATTCATGAGATTAACTAAACGTTGACATTTGTTTGAATAGCTAATTAAGTTCTATAACTAAAAATTTGCAAAATTTATGAGAATTTGTTTTAGAATTCAGATGAGTGAATGTATTGGATTTTCGACGCCACTGATCAACTCTTAGTTCTAGTTCTCGACCTATGACAATTATCTCAACTCATGCAATTGTGACGATTGATAATTCCACATTTATTTATTATTCTTTCCCAAGATATAATAAACCTATGATTACCATGAAACGATCCTATTCCTAGCCCGAATTCATATGGCAAACATGCATTGATGTATAAGATTATCACACATAATCGTACACGTCACAAATATTATTTCTAACATTCATTGTCCATGCATTCTAATAATAGTGTTCTACCTACCGTGAGTTTTCCAACACTACGAATGAGCAACTTATTGTCCTAATGGTGCACAAACATTAAAACAATATAGATATGCATATTA